GAGATTCAGTTTGTGGGTGACGCAGAGACAGGCTTCCCGGGGCAGAAGCGCGGCCCAAGCACCGGCACGTCGGCTCCCGGACGCGCGGCCCAGCTGCGCCGCCCAGCAGGCGGACTTCGACGGCCAAGGCCGTTTTCTTCAGCGGGCTGAGGGCGGTGAGAGGCGACGCCGGCCCACAGGGGCTCCGCGCCCCAAAACACACCGCCGAGCAGCGGAGCCCACCAGCCGCCGCAGCGCCGGGCGTCACTCACACCCACTTCCGGAGCAGCGGCGCTGACCCGCCTCCCGCCGAGTCCGGCCCGGAGCCGGTCCTGTTTCAGCCAATAGGACGGAGGCTTTCTTCGTCGCACGGGCGCTCCGCCTCCACCTCCCCCCAATCCTCCTTCCGGATCTTCACCAATCAATCAGAGCAGCTTTATTCTGACCAGTCAGAACGATGCCTTTGGACCAATCAAACAGGATTTGGATCCCTCGTGTGCACGAGGAAGGCCAATCAGGTGCCGGGGGCGGAGACTTGTTTCTATACGTCGGTCCCCCTCCTGCTCCCTCCCGCACGGTCTCCTCCCGCGGGGGGCGGGTCGTGGTTCCGGGCAGGAGGCGGAACCCGAGGGTGAGGCGCCGAGGCCGTCTTGCGGGAGCGGAGCCGGCGGCGGGCGCGCCGAGCCTCCGGCGGCGGCGCTGGGTTCTGAGCTGCGACACTGTAGCGCGGGCCTGTCGCCCGCAGTGTCGCGAGGGCGCTGTTCCGCCGCCAGATTCCCTTCCTCACCGCGCCCCAGGCTGGGAGTCCTGCTGGTGGCGACTCCAGGACCCGGGTCTTGCAGCGGGGAGCTGGTTTGACCCGGCGGAGGGTAACGGTGTGCAGCGTGAGAGCCTGACGTTGCTGTGACGCCATTTCCGATGGGGCAAGTGGAGAGTGGTGGCCCATCTCTATTAATGCCGTGTCTGGACCGGCATTATTCCGAGTAAGCAGAAATAATGAATGAAAGGGAAGCCACGTTGAACCCTACGTCCAGGAGCCTTCTCCATTGTCCCCAAACGAGCCATGCACCTTCTAACAGTGTGTGCTGCAAGGTCAGCGTCAACCAGCTTCTGACACCCTTGTCGTCTTATCACAGCTGCGTGTCATGTGTGAAGGTTTAGTTCTTGAATGTTTTTTTAATTGGAGTCCTAGAAGTGACCAAGTGAAGCCTAATAGGTTGGGTTAATAATAAATTTCAATAAAACAGCTCCCATTTTCTCGATCCCTTTCAGGGGCCATGAGTCCCTGGCCCTCGACACCCATCCTGAGGATGAGGCGTTTCTCCCCAGCCTACAGAGGAGCAGAGTGAATGCTCGGTCCAGGCTGCAGGAAGCACCGGCGCAATCCACGCGCCCTGGGTCCTCCGCCGCGCCCCCGTCGGACCCGCAGCAGGAGGCCCCGCGGCGCCGCCGGCCACCCCTGCT